CATATTTGGACATTTATTTTTTAGACGAACCCAAAAGCCCTGCCCTCATCTCTATGATTACTGAGGGGAGCGCTACATAAAATGGAGGCACCGCTGGGATAGTTTTGGATTTCTCAGTCTTAAAAAAATAAAAAAGGTTATTTTAAAAAAGTTTCAGAGTTAAAATAACTAATTTAAGAGCTAAGCTTTATACAAACAAAATAAAGATGGAAAAAACAGAACTAGTGTCAGAGTTAAAACGCTGGTGCCGTGGTGAAGGGTTAGAGGAGACTCATTCGCTTATGACCATCGTCCCAGAAGATGTAGAGATCAGTGAAGTAGAAGAAACACTGGGAAATATCAAGTCTTTGGGACGGGTGCGTGTCCGTGGGAGAAACTTTAGTACGAGACTAAACCGACGGATGGTTTTGTGTGAGTGTAAGGAGATTGTGAACGAGGCGAGTGTTCCTCCTGAGGTTGTGACAATTGATGGTGGAGAGGCGTGGCCTGTTATCATCATTGGAAAGGCGCAGGCAGCTGCTGAAGAGTTTAATAATAAACTGAAAGGGTTGCTGCAGGCTGAAGGTAAAACAATGGAGGACCTCAAAACCTTGTTCCCCGGTACACCCCCACCCACTACCTCCACTGAATCTATCTTTCAAGTTGTTGGAGAGTTATTGGACAAGACAAGCAGACCAGCTGATGGTGGGAGCTACATCAGACTGCGCATATTCTCAGGAACCCTACCGACACCACCAGGTGAGGAGACATTTGATCATTGGCTAGAGCAAGCATGGCTGATGGTGGAGGAGACTGAATGCTCCGACAGAGAAAAAAGACGCAGACTTATTGGAAGTTTAAAGGGGTCCGCACTAGAAATTGTGAAAGCAGTGCGACATGCCAACCCTGAAGCCAGCGCAAAAGAATGCTTGGAAGCCCTTGAAATAGCCTTTGGAAATGCAGAGTCCGGTGATGATCTCTATTTTTCTTTCAGATTAATGCAACAACAAAAAGGAGAGAAATTATCAGATTTCCTTCGACGTCTAGAGAGGTCTCTAACTAAGGTGGTTCAACGAGGTGGTCTTTCTGCAAGCTGCATGGATCGAGCGCGCTTGGAACAGCTGCTAAGAGGTGCTATTGCTTCAGACCTGATGTTGATCCAGCTGCGTTTGAGAGAAAGGAAGACCACACCCCCAAACTTTCTGCAGCTCTTGACTGAGATCCGTGCTGAGGAAGAGTATGAAACTTCTAGAATGAAGCTCAGTGCCTCAGTACATCAAGTGCATGCTAATCCTGAAGTGGATACCAGGCAGGCCGAGATCCAGAGCTTAAAGGTGGAAATAAAAGAACTGAAGGCAATGGTTGCATCATTATCTTCCCAATCCACTCCAGTCAAGGAGGATTATAGGAAGGCCACACCCATTAACACACCACCTGCTCCCGAGAACCGGCAAAATGCCGAGCTGGCTGCCTTGAAAAAACAACTGAAACGACTACAGCAGAAAACCAGCAACAAGATGTCTGACCAAGATGCTGCAGTCTCATCCATCGAAGCTTCTGAACAGGTCTCCCACACACCCAAAGAAACACAGAAAAAGTCAGATGAGAATTTCTGCTACAGGTGTGGTGAGAGCGGACATTTTGTCACTAAATGCCGCAACCCTGAAAATCATACCAAGGTTATCAGAAAGCTAATTCATGCTTTAAAGGTGACCAAAGACCAGAAGCAGTCAGCTGGTTCCACCACCAGTGAAGTGAACTGTGGTGTCAAGAAAAATGCTGTTACCTCATCTGAGCAGGCTGGCATCCCTGAAGGCTTGATTGGCCCACCCAGCATCATACCCTTGAAAGTAAATGGTCATTGCTGTGATGCCTTGTTTGATAGTGGTTCTCAGGTCACCATTATTTTTGAATCTTGGTATCAGACTTACCTGTCTGATGTCCCCATACGCCCCGTGTCTGGTTTAGCCCTGTGGGGACTGAGTGAATCTGAGGGCAGTTATCCCTACCGTGGGTATGTAGTGGTCGATGTTGAATACCCAGCAAAGGTTATAGGGGCTGATCAGACCGTGACCATCCTTGCCCTAATCTGTCCCCAGCCCCGAACTGCAGACCAGACCCCTGTCATTGTGGGGACCAATGCCAGTCACATCCGACGTCTTGTGCAGCAATGTAAAGACAATGGCATTGACATCACCCAGACCCTGGGGATACGGTGTTACAGAGATAACAAAATAACATCGACTAACACAACAGCCTTGGATGATATTGGCTGTGTGTTATGGCAAGGCCCTGGCCCTCTGACTCTGCCCCCTGGTGGTAACTGTAGTGCAGTCTGCAAAGTAGAGTATAGGCAGCACGTCGACAAAGAAATTCTGATGGTTGACTCGTCTCCTCTAACTCCACTCCCAGCTGGTGTACTACTTCAGCCAATGGTGGTGCCTAGTGAAGATGTAAATGTTTGCCAATTCAGAATCCTGGTACANTTCATTAACCTAGAAAAAAACGTTTCAGTTACATAATTTTCTATAAAAAAGAGGGAGAATTAAGCTACAGTTCCTGTGTAAACAAAAAGGGAATTCATCCAGAGTTTAACAATATAAAAGTATTTATTTTGAATATTTGTTTTCTTTAAAGAATAAGAAGCTCTGATATTTTTATTTCATTTTTACATTGCTTTAATCATTTGGTATTTAGTAAATAATTGAGAATTGATTTTCTAAAACAGTGTGTGGTGTATTTTTATTACCTTAAATGAGTAATTAATTTAATTTTGGTTGTATAATCTTGATTAAACTTGTTAGTTCAAAGGTAAGTTAGTATAGTCCATTGGTATAAACTTAAAAAGAGAAATTCAAAACAAATATTAAACGTGAGTTAATCAGGTTTAAGCATATTTGGACATTTATTTTTTAGACGAACCCAAAAGCCCTGCCCTCATCTCTATGATTACTGAGGGGAGCGCTACATAAAGTAGGATAATAATCTAAAGAACACAAGAAAGTCTAAACCCTTGTTGCTAAAAAAAGATTTTTTAGAATGGAAACTAAATTATATTATAATTTAATTCAAGTCTTTTAGCATGATATTGAAAAGGCTGCTATCCTTCAGAATCCAATCCTGCAAAGAAAAGTGAATCAGAATCTCTCTAAGAACATTAAATGACTTCTTCAGAAAACAGTTTCCAAAATAAAATCAAAAACCAAAAAAAAAAAGTCTTTATCTTGTCTTTAATAACAATATATAATGATATAAACAATTTAAGCAACAAAAAGAAGTAAAAATAAAAAAAAAACTGTAATCTGCAATTATAATTTTACTACAAGATTTGTTTGAACTGATTTTAATTTGACTATGATGATTGGGACAGAAAGGGAATGAAGATCTACACTTGTTTAACATGAATTCTTTTTCTTAAAAAGAGTTTTGTTACATCATGGCTCTTGTGTTTTTTTTGTGCTCTGTTTCCTTAACCTCTCCGTCGGTAGTAGCAGAGGGGCATTCAAACTGAGCTCCAACACTAACGCTTCAGAAATGTAGTTAAATTTAACCAGTCTGTCTGTATGATTCTGTGAAAAGACCCTTTGAAGTGCCTTGAGATTATATGTTGTGAATTGGCACTATATACAGTAAGTACATTTATTTGATTGTCATGCAGTCTTGAATAAGTCTAATTAGTTTCAGTCTGCTTCTGCGCAGGATAGTTTTAACAACGTCTCTCTCTAAAATGGGGAAGCTGTATGAACCAAAAAAAGAGAACGCTTGACTTCCGCTTCACAGTTGACTCCTAGTCATGGCCGTGGTTGTTCTGCTTCTTCTCATCTCTGTGCTGGATACAGTTAAAGGTAAAATTCATGTTATTTCTTACAAAAAAGGACTAATAGTTGCTGTGGCAATTTGTAACACTTAATTGAACAACCTTTGTAGATTTGAAGAAGGTAATATGGAAAACAAGCCTTGCCAAACCCTATTTAAAAGTTACATGTTATGTTTAAGGCGACCACATGTGGGTGATCTAAAAAAATGTAGATTCTCTAAAAAGTAATTAGATTCAGTGATTTATCCAACCTGTCTTTGGACTTCAGCTTCCACTCTATTAACCAGACATTATCAGAGAGAATAACTATTAGTGGGGATTTTGTTAGTGTTTCATGGTTTGCTACTTTTAGAACTAATGTATTCTCATTTTATTTGTCATAAGTTTGTTAAATTATTCTAGTATTTAATTCTTCGAAATGTATGTCTATGAAGCAATGGAAGGTATAGCTGAAGGTAGGTATAGAAGGTAGAGCTGATTAAAGACTAAAATCAATGCCTTAAATTCCTCTTATCGAAAAGCAGCATAAACAGCTTAAATTTTCATGTACACTTAAAAGATAATCAACCATTGTGCTCAATCTTAAAACAGTGAAGATTTCATGACACAAAATATTTTAACTGATCAGGGTCTCTTTCTTGTACATTAAGTTTCAGCGCTGACTTTGGTAGGGAAAACATGAACTTGACAGTGTTTCAGCTAAATTTGATATGTTAAGACAAGTAGTTCTACTCTGACCCAAACTCTTAGTATTTAGTGAACTTTTAAATTATATTTTTATATGCTTGCTGATGTTTATGAATATTTCATTTTACCGTATTGTCACGACTATAAGGCGCATATAAACGTCTTTTTTTTCCCCCTCAAAATGTGCGGCGCACCCTATAGTGCTGTGCACCCTATGTGTGTTGTAACTGCGGACGTTGTTGAGACCGCCATGAGAATGTTAAAGGAGGAAGTGTGGGCGTGGATTGTGTATAAAAGAACAGGTATGTGCTTTATGCAGAACTCCTCATCTCCTCATTGAGGAGATGATGAAAGAGTGGCTGAGGGAGGTGTATGTGAGGAGACCAGGTGGTTTTTTCCAAGCATCACCATCGCTGTTGATCTGTGACTCCATGCGTGCCCATCTCACAGCCGATGTGAAAAACATGGTGAAACAAATAAACGCTGTGCTTGCTGTTATTCCAGGAGGTCTGACAAAGGAACTTCAACCGCCTGACATCGGTGTGAACCGTCCGTTCATAGTAATGCTACGTTCACGCGTCTGCTGCGTAATTTTTGCTGCTTGTACCAGTTAGCTCTGACGCGCGGCTGAAGCATCTTTGCTGCTCTGGCTGCGCAAAATGGGGTCTGACGCGCGTTCGGCGGAGCTACTCTATCCTTTCTTTGCCTTGCACCTATATTTGCTGTGATCAGTGG